CCAAAACCCCAAAACCCCAAAACCCCATTGGCTTAAATTAAATTAAAAATTCGGAATTATCAAGCGAATTGCAATAATTATCATAAATTTAATGGTTTCCAAGAAAAGTAAAAGCAAGTCAACAGATCTCAATCCAGGAGATGGCTACTATGAGATGAATATCAGAGTGGGAACTGAAGAACAGATAAAATAAAATATCCCTTTTGCCCAATTGATTAATGATCCTATTGTGATTAAACAAATGCAAGAAATGGCACTTAGCTCTATAAATGGTAAGAAGATAGCTTAATATCAATTAGACTAATCCTTTAAATAGATAACTATACGAGATTAGTATTTAACTTTATAAAAAATGGAGGGTAATTAACTGATAAAGATGTAAGTAAGCATAATTAACAGGATATCTAATAAACACATGAATATAGAGTTGCTAATTCAAGGCATTTGATTTGGAGAAATTATGGAATCAGAGTGAGCAGAGAGGACTTCCCAAATTCGACAGCCCAGTGATACCTAACTTCGACAATATCAAACAATACACGAGACTAACTATAATTTGTGATGATCCAAAAGTCGTGCATCAGATTATTGTAATATTTATTCCGAAAATATTAATCTAGAATTTATCATCAGGCGAAAAGAAGCAGTACGGTATAATAAACAGCTATGATTTGCTTGCAGTAAGGACTAGTGAATCAGAGTAATTATTTGAGCAGATCTGTACCAAATCCGATGTGGATATAATCAGCATTGATCTGACTAAGAGACTCAGCTTTTTCATTTCAAAGGTGCTAGTAAAATAGGCTTTGCAGAGAGGCATTTAATTTGAAATATGCTATGGTGCGGGGTGTTTTGAAGGATCTTAAACTAACAGAAAGCAATTTTTGCAGAATGTAATGCAGCTAGTTAAAGTCTCAAAGGGCAAAGGCATTATTCTGAGTTGCGAGGCGAATAATAGCATTTATCAAAGGACTCCAATTGATTGCATCTAGATGTAAGAAATTAATATGAATGAATTTATTAGGGCATTGATGTTTGGAATGGGCTAGAGAGAAGCATTGATGACTATGCAGTAAAACGCTTAAATGGTGCTTAAGCACTCACATATGAGGAAAACTTATAAAGGAGTAGCTGAGTTAGTTCTTAAAGAAAATTAGAATGAAGAAGAGGAAGAGAAGATGTAGATGTGACTTGATAATTAAAATTAATTAGCTTATTTAATTCTTACTTTCATTAGAAATAAGTTTATTATCATCTTTTGGGGTTTTGGGGTTTTGGGGTTTTGGGG